AGAAAGTGCAGGTCCCCGTGCATTACTACAGAAAGTGCAGGTCCCCATGCATTACTACAGAAAGTGCAGGTCCCCGTGCATTACTACAGAAAGTGCAGGTCCCCGTGCATTACTACAGAAAGTGCAGGTCCCCATGCATTACTACAGAAAGTGCAGGTCCCCGTGCATTACTACAGAAAGTGTCAGGTGGCTAAAGCCCATTTTTAACAGGGGGAACCTGTAAGATACATGTCATACAAGGGGCAAAGATGGATATTAAGTGCTACAGGAAAGACCCCTGAATGTGGTACAGGGCAGAACCCCAGGTAAGGTACAAGGCAGACCCCTGATATGGTACAGGGTAGAACCCTGAGGGTGGTACAGGAAAGACCCCGGGGTGTGGTACAGGGCAGTACCCCAAGTAAGGTACAAGGCTGACCCCTGAATATGGTACAGGGTAGAACCCTGAGTGTGGTACAGGAAAACCCCCAAGTGTGATACAGGGCTGACTTCTGATTGTGGTAGAGGGGGCATGCCCCCCAGTTTGTAATTGAAAGAACATGGCCTTTTAGGTGTCATAAGGGTGTGGCATTTGACCATCACCGCCATTAAGTAGCAAGCCTGTTTTGGTACCCAACTACTCAGCCAGTACATGGGATGAGTAGCTCCCAACACAACAGATAGTCGGAGATCTTCTTCCATAAGTGGCCCTCAGCAGTTCCTCCCGTGCACAATCTCCCCGTCTCTGCAGTGCTTCACTCCGACCATGAGGCTACATCTTATTTCTTTGTTTAATCGCATTCCCCAATCGTGGCCTCCGGCTTGAAGCGAGCGGCTGAGAGTCAGCGGAAAGCGCGGAGAGCTGAAGGGGCCGTTTGCGGGCCCCGTGAAACGCCACAGACAGCCTCTAAAAGGCTCAGCAATTTCTGCTTCAGCATTATAGCTCCATTTATCCAGGGTTTCAAAGAGACCATCATGGTGCTTCCTAACTGCACTTAAGTCCAGAGACATTATCCTTCAACCATTTGATGAGATGAGATGTTCTCCACAATACTGCTGTGATTTTGAAATACGCAGCTTATAACAAAGAACCGTATTTACCTAGAAGTAGACTTTCAGTGCATATATGTCTACCTGCACACTCTTCCATCGGTGGCATTAACAATATTATTTTTAAACAATATTTTTTATATCTTGATTAATCGAGCTACATATGCATTACAATAAATAATATTCAAAAAAGAAATACAGCCTCAGTATGAGACAGTTCATCCTAACATTCGACAAGAGGCCAAACCATAGGATTAAAGACAGCTGAGACAGAAGCGCAACAACATATGTGCCACCTCTTTTTGGAAGTTCTCTTTACTGCCTCTAGGCGGCAGTGTAAATAAAAAGCATCACTTGCAACAGCTCCATCCTCCTTAAGAAGGCCCTGCTGAAGAAAAGGCTTGTAAACAGATCTACAGTAATGTTGTTCTTCCATAAAAAAACATCTAAATGCAAAATTTTCACTGTCGACTGATGTTCCAAAATTTCCTTTTTAAATGGACGTGTATTCACTTAAATGAATATGTCTATGTTCAGTATTATAAAGAAAATGGCATATTTATTTACAGTATTAAATGGCTTTGCTGTTTTAAAAACTCTATATTTCAAGGCCTTCAGAAGCACTTAGATAGGATTCAGATTGCTATCCATCACTATCGCACGCCGAAAAATATATAGTTTACCTGTGAGATGTCATACTTCTAAACAGCCATTTCACGTTAATTTATTTAGAAGATGCCTTTTATACACTTTTTGTCATGCAAGTGAGGAAAGCTTGGGGTCAAAGAGCAGGGACAGTGTTCCTGGAGCAGTCGGGGTTAACGGACTTGCTCCAGGGCCCAGTGGTGATATCATTACCCTGCTGGCCACGGGATTTAAACCCATGACCTTCCGGAAACAGGCACAGATGCCTAATTACTGAGCTGTAGAGTAAGTTGCATCGTTTTGGCAAATTGAAGTTTGAATTGTTAATTTTTAACAGCTTAACTATTGTTGTTTTTCCTTATGTATGGGATTTATAATTTAAATTGTACCCAGGGTTCTAGATTATCAAAAATATAAAAAATGGCTTGGGGTCCAATAACAAGAGAATAGCAGCTGGACAAAAGTGTACTGGGTGAGGCATATGCGACGGTCCAGAATGCTGGGAACGTGGAACATAAGCCTTTCAAAATACCTCCTCACTAGCCCTCATGGACCCTGCCACAGCAAATATGTGTTCTGCATATTAAAGGCGGGGCACTGTTGCCTCATGCTTCCAGGGGTGGAGGCTAAAATCCCACCTCCACTGTGTGTGTGTGGAGTTTGCCTGTTCTCCCAAAGTTGTGCAGGTTTCCTCCTGAAGTCCAAAGATACACAGTTGGGCTAATGGGCCTAATCTGTGCCTTGTGATGGACTGGCGTTCCATGCACGGCGTATCCCAGTCTTATGCCCTGTATTGCCTGGGATCAGCTCCAGGTGACCATGACTAGGAAAGGAAGTTGGAAGGTGCATGGAAATGTTCAGGGTCCACATCCTTGCAGGCTTGCTCGGGTTTGTTGTTCCACCCAAAGCCCATCTAGATTGTGGGTGCAGGTAGGGCACTGACCACACCTCACAGACAGTGTTTCTTCTAGGGTAGCTGTGGTAGAACTTCCACAAGCTAATTGATTATCAGTCATTAACAGTCCTAAATAAGTAGCCAGGTGGCCTGTAGATCTGCATCCTCTGACCCCCCACCAAACAGAAACAGCCCTCTGGCTAGTTCTGCTCTTTGACCTGGGTTGATTGGCAGTTGCAATTGGGGAAAACAATGCAAGCCTAGGGTTCTGAGCAGCCCCTCATACCCCTACATCTGTGGAAGAAAGAGTACTCTGCTGTTCTCCTTCCATCTCCCCAGGCAAGAACAATAAAGCCCAAAAAAGCAGTAAAATAATCAAGTGGGCTGGCTGCTGTCCCATAGACTTGATGGGACAATAGCTAGCAGAAGGGTGAGAGAGACAATGAAGGAGGTACCGCATCTCTAATGGGACTCGTATTGCAGATGGAGGAGTGATAAGACTGCTTTGCTTGGTAAGTAATGCGTCGGCAGACTTTATTTCCACTCTCATCTCAGCTACTGGGAGCATATCCAGCTACTTTAGCTATTTACAGCACATCCTAGCATCAGAAAGAAAACACCTAATCACTTGAAACTTGTTTTTAACATGTGTGAAGAGATGTTTTCCTCCAGTCTATTCTCGACATCAAGTGTCAAGGTCTTCTTCGCTGGCGGAAGAACCTGCATTAAATGCCATCCCTCCTCATGTTATGGTGAGTTCCAGCTCAAGGGCCAACTATATCACAGATGAAGAACTCTGGGTAAGATTGTGTAATCCACCAACATTGGTTCAAATTTGTTTGGGCAATTGGCTATGGTTCATTGCCCACAGTAGGGGGAAAATCGAATATGCACACAGCTACTTTATCTCTGTTATTTTACCGAGACTTGCATATTGTTTATATGCAGATCACAGGTCATAATTCAGGTTTTATTCTAAAAATGCCAATACTTTTTAATACATTAATGTTTTTGATAGAAATGATCCATCCATCTTCCATAATTGCTGATACATGAGTGTGGGAATCCTACAGCCTATCAAGAAGCCTATCAACCCCTCACAAAGCAGAAGGCACAAGGTAGGGGAACACCTGGGAAGGCATGCTGGAACAGCACAAGGCACAACACACAGAGTTTTGTAATTATATCTTTGTGGGGACTCAACATTCATTTCTATGGGGAAAATTCTAATCCCAACATGACGACTTTAACCCCTACCCAGCCCATTCTGGTCCCCACAATGTCAAAATGAACAGGTTTTTATTACATTGTAATGGACATTTGGTCCCTACAATGTAATATAAACATAATTCACACACACACACACACACACAAATGTACCAAATATAAAAGTACATTTTACAAATATATGTGCACTGCCAATCACTGCCTCATACAACATAACCAAAACAAAACTGTACCTCGTTTATACAAGTGACTTCAGGCAGCAGCTGATCGAACACTGATGCTTGATTGTTACTCATACTCATTTCACAGACACAACGTAGACTACAGAAACTCTGATCTACTACAAAGGCTATTTAATAAGACGGGCATCATTTTGACTGGATTAACTGAGATAAAGGGAAGCAAACGGGGTGTTTTGGGGGTTTATAGGATCGAATGGACCCCCATTCCAAGGACACAGAGGATCAGCTCTGGGTTTAAGCTTAACTCATGGAGCACGATAGCCGTCCGTACACTCCCTCGATAAGAGGAACTGTTCCTGCTGCACTTCTCCTCCAGGCCTTTTAGCTGCCAAGCAGCTGACATCAGATAAATGCACGGCGGTGCTGCATTTATTCTGCACGTGTCCCTCCATGCCGCTGCTCTGGAGCCGCTGACGATAAGCTACGAGGCAATTACACGCCGAAGGGAACAAAGCACTTGTTTACACTCAGCTTCTCTTTTTGTGGGGGCCCTAATTTCCTTCCAGGGACCTTCGTCTGTTCTTTACTGAACTCTGTCAACGTGTGTGAGTGCGTGTGTGGTGAGCGTGTGTGTGTGCGGGCCTATGTGTGTGTTTTTGGGAGACGGGCTACTGCTGTGTCAATACTAAGGCAATTAGCTGAACAAGTGCCTCCGGTGAGAGGGTATTACATTACACCTGCCACCGTCCTGGCTACAAAAAATGTGGCATCATCCATCCAGTGCCACCTACAAACATGGATGCCTGCATCACACTAATGTGATTCTGCCACTGAATTAAATACCACTTTCCATACACAAACTCATTCTTCTAAAGTTTAACTTTTCACACACCTATTACGCAACTTCAATGGGGTGAACTTTTTCAGAATTATGCTTGTGGTAATGAATAATGAATTAAACATTACTAATATCTACCACAATCAAAACAAAAGGAGGATAACATGAAACATTGTAATTTCTCTTCAAAACAATTGCAATTATCCAAGTAAAACATATGTAACACTTTAAGTAAAACATATGTAACACTTTAAGTAAAACATATGTAACACTTTAAGTAAAACATATGTAACACTTTAAGGAAACACCGTATCTTAAGAAGGCCTTGGTTTTAGCTTATCCTAAGAATATTTACACGGGGAATAACTTTTAATTTCCCTCCTTGACCATAAAAGGCCAAATTCAGCATATATACAACGAGCTCAGGGTTGCTGGTATCTCCCAGAGTTTGTACTGAAAAATATCATTTCAGATATTAGAAAGGAGGGCAGCTTTATGAAGGTTACAGACTGGTGTCGGCCGCTGCATTCATTAATACAGAGATTGGCTGGACATAAGCTATCTTCTTAATATGGGAAGGAGTGAATGTTTTGGAACCTGATTGCTATACTAATTCCCATGACCCTGTACAGGATAATAAGTTTGAAGATAGATGAACAGATTGATGGAGTCCGTTACAACTTGTTACACAGAAGCTGTTTTGTACAGCAGCTTAAGAGGGAGCTGCGAGTGAGTTTTATAGTATTGTGGCCATTACGGCAGCGGGCTTTGCAGCAGTGCTGCAAAGTGCAGTAAAGCGTTGCTGGCCCGGTACCTGTGAGTGCGGCTGTTCGCTGACTCTCCGGCCCACGGAGGATAGGCCGCTCCCGGCCACTTTGCTCGTCGTTTGCAGGTTGATTGGGGCCGTCTGCAGCGGCTCGCTGCCTGCCGCCTTTTGTCCGTTAATGTGTGCGGTCACCATGGAAACGGGAGCTTTCGCCGGCACCACGGAGATGGCTATGCTCTGGCTTGGCGGCTTGATGAGTGAGACGGGCTTGGTGCTCCCCATAGGACAGCCCCTCACCGGCAGCTTCTGCGTGAAGAAGGGAAGAGGAAGGTGAAAGGCAGATCCGGCTGGAAGGAGAAAGAGGAACAACCGCGCGTCCCAGAGCTTCGCCGCGTTTATTCCACGAGCGTGAAGCTCTGGAGACTCCTTGAGATCCCCCTACGGGGTGCTTCAAAGGGCCTCCAACTCAGAGCATTAGCGGTGTTTGCTGTGACCAGACAGCTCCAGCTGGAGGACAGCAACACGGGCCTGAAACGCAGGGGCTTCATCAAGGCCGGGTGGGACGGGCAGGCAGTCACAGTGACCTTCGCTGTCCTTCTGCACCGCCATCATCCCATATGTGGATTACCGGCCAGACATTACCCTCTGTCTTGTTCAGAAGTAATGCATATTAATAAATATATTCACTATAAATTAAATAATACATATTAAACATCAGAATATCGATAAATGCTTATTTATTGACTTTTCCCGCAGTTACTCCTCTCTATGCCGGCTTCTACCACTTACACTCATCAAATGAAAATCTAAGCAAGTATAATTTTCTTATTTACACAAAATTGTAATTTCATTAATAAATGGACCGACAGCACATCTTATGAACAGGATTACTTTGCTTGCATTGAAGCATATTGTCTTATTTTAGGAAATCTTGCCAAGCACAATTTTCTTACTGCACTGGAAGATAATTTTGCTATTTGTAGGCCGTCTGATCTCAAAACAGAAACAGTTTCTCTGAAATCCGAAAGGCCATTTTTTGCAATTAAGTATCTTCAGAAAAAGGTTACTCTGCCTTGGCTACAGCAGATTTGATGTTAAGAGAGTGTGCAAGAACATGGTAATTTTATACAGGGACATGCAGGGGGGGGGGGGCACTTGCAGAAATAGATCAAAGCAGGTTTTTGTTTGCTTGTCCCTGCATTTCTACAAGTCATCTTAACCAGCATCCTAAACCCTTTTCACTCGCCTGGAGCAGAAGCCCTGCATGCCGCACTCACTTTGAAGCGAGTTCACACTGGGCTCTTCTCCTGGTGACAGGGTGACTCCACGCGTAATGAGGCTCGGGGTCCTGCTGGACCTTCAAGCGGGCACTGGGCCTTCCTGCCTTTGACTGGGCCTTCACCACAGCGGCTCGCGGGCTCACAAAGAGCCACGGTCATCGTCATGCCACTCACACTCAGCATGCGCCATATCACCCCCCCCCCACACATCTTACTCCTCCTCGGCTCGGGAACCAACACAAGTACAGCCTGCTTTCTCCCCTCTCCTCTCCTGTTCTCCCCTCTCCTCTCCTGTTCTCCCCTCTCCTGTTCTCCCCTCTCCTCTCCTGTTCTCCCCTCTCCTCTCTGACACAACCAGTGAAGCTGGATGAGAGCAGAGCCTCTCTAAATATTTCATATCCTATTCTACTGCCCATCTTTATTTTTGCCGCCTTTCATCGCCTTATAAGAGGGGGCTTAGATGGAGTGGGGGGGGGGGGATGCACTGGGGCGGAGGGAAAGGGGCCTTTCATTCTCAAATGTGTATTGATGAGGGGGATTTTGTTCCTCTCCTTCTGTGCATCTGCCTGAGATTGTACCCAAATGCCCTGCCACGAACACTTAAAATCAAGCTGCAGAATGAAGACCAGACTCGCAGCAGAAATACCAGGACCTTTGCTCAAAGGCACTGCAGATTAAGAAAAAAAAATCTCTAAAGCATCTTGGGGTCTTAGAAGAGTCAACAGCTTAAGGATCCTTTGATATGAACTGAATGACGCTGGAATAATGGAATTCACTAGGAGAATGTCACACAACAACATCACCTCGAAGCATCTTCAGAGCGAGCAGTCCGACACAAACGTGTTTTCTCAGCTATAATTAAAAAGACACACTCACAAGCCGTCTGATTGGCCGAGTCCTTCACCCGAGTTTTCTAACGAAAGCCTCACTGGGTGAAAGAATCAATTCCTGCCCAACCCTGCCACAGCTCCGCCGACCGAGAATCACCCACACAGGACACGGGCGGCCCGCCCCCTCATTACAGACGCACAACACGGGGAAGTCAGGGGGGTGGTCTGAGATTAATTTTGAGGCTTCTGGCTGGGACGATGTCTATTTAATCAGCCCCCACAGTCTCCGTCAGCGTGCGTTTTGTGTTCTTAAAAGTAATGGCCGGGGGAAGGCGGGGGCTATCCATGAACTCCTATGTGGAATAAATTCATGGAATCATGAAGGGGGAAGGGGGCAGAAAGGAGGAGGGGGTGCTAGACGGAGAAAAGCTTTTTGGGGTGGAGGGAGGGTCTCCGTGGAGATTCAAGTCTCGCTTTGTGTCAGGACCTGTTCTAGTCAGCGGGCGCTCTCATTTTCTTTTGCAGTATGGGGCGAGAATGGAGCACTGCACTCTGGGTCACCATTAGGAGGCCTCACCCCCCCCCCCCCCCCCCCCCCCCCCCCCCCCCCCCCCGCCCCCCCCCCCCCCCCCCCCCCCCCACACACACACACACACACACACACACACAGTAGCGCGGCACGTGACACGAGATCAGTCACCGAGCACAAAGCTAACGCTTCAATGCAGGATTAGCTACGTTAAAGTTGGAAGATACCCTCCCCTCTTTCCACCCTTAGCTACAAGCCTCAAAAAGAATGGGGACCTATTTTTACCATTCTAACTGAGATAGTTACTGAAGGATGCATTGTCCCGGGTAACATTTTTAACTTTGTCAATATTTAGATTTACAATTCCAACTCTGTAAGCTGCACAGATTGTCTGTGAAGAGAGAGGTAAATTAACCACAGGCAAGTAAATCGAAAGCAAAGGAGTGAAACCAAATGCAAAAGTCACCGTTTTAAGCGCCGCGGCCAATTAAGAGAAGCGCGAATGGTTCCCTGTTGCAGGAACAAAGAGCGTTAAAAACAGCCTGAGATTGTCGAGTGAATAGAGACTTCATTTGGCCTGTTATTTATTTATCCTTGAACAATGTGTGCAGTGGCACCATTGTTTTAGCCGATCAATGTGATCCACAGGCAGAAAAAGCACCAGCCAGCATCTGGGAGGGGGGGCTGCCGTTTGTTCAGTCAAAAGGGTCCCTCTGATTCTCTCAAAGGTCACCCATTAACATCCCTGGCCTAATGGCATGGAGTCCCTCCCCCCGCCCATCCCCAATGGAAGAGAAAGCCACCTGAAATGGGGGAGGGGGGGTGTTATAGGCAAACTAAGGCACATTGTTTTCGCTGGTCCTCTCTGGGATCTGGATAAATACCTTGAGGGCTAGAAAACAACAATTAGCCCGTGAAGCTGACAGCGAAAATACCGGACGTGAGACCAAGGGGAATGTTGCTGAAACGCTCCCCGGATGTAGATGGACCCCAAGCGCAGTGACTCAACGTAAACGTCACATATATTCGGCGATTGTATATTAATGGTATATCGCTGCAGTCGCGAGCCGGCTGCCAATTTCTGTCATCCTCTTCATCAGAGATCAGAGAACCACTTCTGGAGGGAGACTTAATTGCAGGTATTATGTCATTAGAAGCCCTCAGAAGCCCTTGGGTATGGACTTGTGCACTGAAAATCCTGCCCTAATGTACACTTTGAGGACAGCACTTTGAGGCATTAACTGTTTCTCAAAAATTGCCAATATGAGAGCAATTGTGACTATTGCCCACAGAAGGAGCAAGACAGGCACCAGCAGATATGCTTTGCCAAAGATAAATGGCGCAACAGGGATTTTCACCAGTTTGATAAGCTTATGAACATTTATTTGAACACCGCTGGTGTTTCAGATACCATTGCTTTCAGTTAACTTTTAGCTTTGCCATGGTCAAGGTAAACCCTCAGGTTGGCTATCTCTGAGAGCCAAAGCTGTCCGGGATCTCGTCCTCAAAACAGGATCCGGATAAACCCTAGAAGAGTTTGGAGGCCCGTTTTCAACATACAGAGTGTGTGAGCAAGGCTGGGCCAATCAGCAATGCAGCTGTTGTTATGGTGATGCCGCATGCAGCCAGGTGTAAGGAGAAGAGAAAGGCAAGCGAGACCGGGGATCCGATAAGACCATTGACTACAGCACGCTGGAAGTAATTCTTAGACTGAGACGACTTGCTTATACCCAGAGCGCCATACTGATCAATTGGTCTCCATGGTATTCTTAAGAGGTAGATGCTTCACAAGTTAACACCTTCAGAGTTAGCAGAACGAGGCGTGGTGGTTCACTGGAAAGCCAGGAAGGGTTCTGCTCTCCTTTAGGAAGGGACAATTACCATGAGGTTAAGTCAACAAGCAGGCCTTTGGAGTCAACACAGTGAAGTGCTGTGGAAGAGTGCCGTATGAAGCACCAGGCTCCCTGACTGCGGGATACACGGGGTACAGCTCTGTACCGCATTAGCATGACTTCATGAGGAGTAACAAAGGATATTAGTCAAAAAATGAGCAGCAGCCGGACTCTTGTGACCCAAAGCTCAATGCAATTCCATTAATGGCTTAGCTTAGCGGCTGGATCTTCCTGTATTATTTGGAACTTTTAACATAATTGCTTGCTTAGCAGGATAAACTGCTCACAAATGTGCATGAGACCACAGCCACAGTGTCCTGCTTGGGAGGGGGTCGCTCTATCCTGTGCCACAGTGTAGAGGGAAACACCGGGCAGTCCTGACTTATGACGATGAACTGTGGGTGTACTGAGACCCCTGTTCTTCAGCAGATGTTAGCAACAGCCAAGTTAAAAGGGAGTAACTTTCAAAAAACAAGATCAATACACTGGAATAAACTGACCTATGACAGAATGCTCCAGAAGAAATGCCACCATCTCAAAATGAAGAGCGCCTTCGGTGATAGTGGATGTCAGGGTATTATGGCCTTATGATTATAATTAAGACTGTTAACATTTCCAAGAACACTTGGCAGCACTGATGTGACTCTGTGCAGCTCTGGGCCGTGTCAGAACAGCGGCAAATGGCAAGAACCGGATGAGTGGGTTTCAGATCAATTACGTGGGTAATCCATAGTTTCCGTCTCCTTGTGGATATGACTGAGGTAACCGAATTCCT